TTTCCCCTCTTTCCCTTTTCTTCCCCAGCTAGAGTTGTTTGTTCATTAAAGATGGCTTCTTCTTCATCCCAATCTTCTTGTTCTTGTAGTTTCTGGTAGGTAGAAATCGCCATTTCTAAGAAATGAAAAACAGATCCAGAAGAGCCCTTCCCTTCTTGTTCCTCTTCTTTTAGCTTTTTAAATTCCATTTTCAGTTCATCAACAAGTAATGCCATTGTGAAAAAAATTTTAAACAACCCAAATGTTTTTAGTCTTTCAAATATTAATTTCCAAAGGTCCCAAAGTCACCAAGCAATCCAAATACACACAAACTGTTTCATTTAGCACTTTCTTCTTTTTAATACTTTCTCTTCCTGGGGTACAGTTCAGTTGCAAAGTTCCAAAATATATCTTTTAGAAGTCTTGTTACAATTTAACTCTAATCTTATCAGTTCCAAGCAGCCTCCTCCAGCAAAATCTTAATATTAATTCTTTTCCTCTCCCTTCCCACTTATAGCAAAATATATATATATTTTTTTCCAGTGTTCAGAAATCTTTAATGTCCCCTTGGCTTTAATTTTCAAATTTAATTACCTGCTGATGCCAAAACGGGTTTTTCCGATTTCCATCTGCTATCACCATAAGGAAGGAGAGTGAGAAAAAACAAACTTTCCCTTTTTACTTTCATTCGCCGCTTTTTCCAATATTCTTTGGGAGCGATGTATCTTTAATGAAATTAAAATTCCAGGGTATTTAAATGTTACTTATTATCCCGGTCAGCCAAAAACTTTCACTTTTCAGCTTCCTCCTGCACATTCTTATCCGGATGAAAGCTTCTTTGTGGCGGCCATTGCTGACCGCCGCTCCACCGCTTTCGGAAAAGGGAGTTCATCCAGCTGAGGATTCCCCAGGACCCCTGCTGGATCTCCCCTGTCTTCAGTTACCTCTACGGGGTAACTATTAGCCCCCCAATCCAACTGGATCGGGGGCACTCCAGCGGCGAACGCAGCAGAAACCGCACACAATCGCAGATTCCTGCCACCGCCAAAGCCTTGCAAACCGGAAGTCCAAGTCCATTAGTTTTTGTTTTAGTGTAATTTCTCACCTTTTTGCCCTGGAAATGTCTATGAGGTTAGGACTGAGGAACAAGGGAAGATTGAATGTTAGGGAAGGTTTGATTTCTTTTCCATAACTGTATAGGTGCTTTTGAACTTTTGTGACTCCTGAAAATACCACAGACAGCCAAGAAAACAAACATATGCAACATTAAATAAATTAGCACAGGTTTCTCACTGGAGGCACAAATGATGAGGCTCAAATTATCCTACTCTGAACATATTATGCAAAGTCCTAACTCTCTGGAGAAGGCTTTAATTAATACTGAGAAAAGTGGAAGGAAAGAGAACGACCAGTAGCAATATAGGTGGACTCAGTTACAATTATGATAGGTTTGCCTTGGAAACCCTGAAAAACCCAACCGCTGGTCCATGGAAAGCATGTAAGCAACTGGTCTGCGAAGCCCCATCTGCAGGATGCAGATTAGCATGCAAAACCATTCCCTCTCTGGTCCATGAAAAAAACTCTCTCCACCAAACCAGTACCTGGTGCCCAAAAGGTTGGGGGCAACTGTTACAGAGAAAATCTGTCTATGTTATTTCTGAGAGTTGTCACAAGATGGATTGTATTTTGTTGTATTGTGAATTTTCAGCAGGATGTTATCAAACCTACTTTAAGATCAAGGCAGGTAGAGACATTTCTGGATGTGTTAAAGTTTTACTCACAAATAAAAATCCTAAAATTATAACAGCAACAGACAAATTTTTACTATGGCAATAAAAACAAGTTCTCTAGTAACACATCAATAAGAGAGAGTTTTAAATGTTTTATGTAATATTTACCAATTATTTTACATGCCAAACTGTTTTATCTAATGCCAACTTTTAGATTATATTTGCACTTCTCTGTTTGAGCTTTGGTGTTAAATAAAATTAAAACTCCTAGAGGAAATGTATACACTGTGCTAGCTTGTAAGTTTATAAGTACTATCCCAACAGTAATGTCTATCTCTGTAGGACAAATCCAAGAATTGTGGAATAATAATCCAAAGCTGGACAGGATGGCTAATACTTTAAATGAGAAAGCCAGAAGATTCAAACAGAACTAGATAAGTTTGAGCAACAGGCTGAAATGAAAATATTGAAAATATTTTGCTTCACATCAATTCTGACCAAATTGCACAAGATGTCTCCAAGAGTCAGGAGCAAAACATAAATACTGTATATTTTTTGTTGTTGGCAGGTGGGATCTGTTATTATTCAACCAACCATTTCCATTGCAGTGTTTCCCCCACTGGGGCACCAAACCAACTGGCAAAGCCACAACTTGACCCTCTTACGAAAAATAGGCGGGTTGGGGCCAACCTCACATCGTGGGGGAGGGGAAGATGTTCCAGAGGGAAAGAGCAACAGCAGGGAAGGCTCTCCTCCTGGACCCTGCCAGTCAGAATAAATGGGCTGATGGGACCCATAGCATGCCTCCTCTGTTGGCACGACTTCAACTTTAGAGGATTTGACAGTCCTATCAAGCCATTTTGTGCCCATGTTCACATGTCATGCTACTTTCCCATGCTTAACTAAATTATGACTTATTCAATTGACCCAACTGTCAACCCTGAACTAATTACAATATGTTAAATCTAAAAGACAATTAGTAGTTTGCAGTCCCAGCAGTTTGTAAATTTACCTTGCGTGCATATCTCCAAAGACATTAAGAATTCTACAGAGTTGTTTGTAAAAAGATACAGTTGTCTTCAATTGAAACGGTTAGTACACACAGCTGTATTAACCTTTATAATTTCAGCCTGAGAAAGTTCTTATCTTGCAGTTAGAAAGTTATAATTATTTAGTTGCTAAGGCACAAAATGTTTGCATTTTATGATCAAATATAAAAAGTAAAAAAAAAAAAAAAGAGCAATAAAATCCATGTTGCTTGGCCCTCTCACTCTACAAGCCATTTTATAAATAGGACAGCCTGTTACACATCTAACTCTGATGGTGTGGGTAGAATTGAATTTAACAATGACAGAAAACACCCAAGGACAAATAATCCATTTTATTATCTTTCTGCACTGCCTCTTTCTGTCCTTTTTATTAGAGATGGGGGTGGTGGTGTTCTTTAACATCAAAATATTGTGTGCTGTGAAAAACATTATTTGCACTGGAGGGGGAGAGGGAATAATATAATATTGGTCATTATTACTCCTCCATTCCCCCATTTGCTCACTTTCTTGGCCAAGTTATTTATTGCTGACTTTATCTATTGATCTCTGGGGAAATCAGAGCATTGGGGGGGGGGGGTCCAGAAGGTAGGGTGAGGTTTATAAACGCCATGGTTGCCAAGGAAAATGATACTTCAGCAAGCTATTCTTTTTCTTGGTTTCGTCCAACTGCCTTTCAAGAAATGAGCCATGATATGCCAGGTCAGCCATTTTGTAAGCAATCCAAAGTCTGTTCTCTGGAGCAGACTTGTAGACTTCAACTTGCTGCCTGAAGAATTCTGGGAGTTGGCGTCCTCACTTCTTAAAGCTGGTTGGAGTTCCCTGCTCTAGACAAAGGAGTTCTTGAGAATTCAAAAGCTGCCCCAGTGCTTTGACATTTAAGTGGATTCTATTTTTTAATCTTTAATTGGCTTTTAATCCTTGTTGGCCCAGCTTTGAAAAAAAAAACATTTAATCACACAAAGGTAGATCCAAAACCTGGTAGAGTGCTATTTGCTAGCTGCCGATAATACATATTTTTAGAACCTACATATCCTCAATATGGGGTATTATTCCAGTCAAACTTCAATTTAAAAAGTTCCACTAAATAAATTGAAGGATTAGATATTTTTTTACTTCTATCTCACAGAATCTACGGATTGTATCAGTTCATTTAAAAACAAAAAGAAACAACCACTTTCTTCTAACTCAGCAAACCTTCATGCAACTGAAAATCTATTTTGCACAAGCTAATCTAATTAAGGGCTTCCAAACAAGACTTACCTATTGATCTGAAAGAGCAGCAACAATCAACCAATGGAACAGCTTGCCTTTGGAAGTTGTGGGAGCATCATCACTTGAGACTTTCAAGAAGAGATTGGACTACCATTTGTCAGAAATGGTGTAGGGTCTCCTGCTTGGGCAGGGGTTGGACTAGATGACCTACAAGGTCCCTTCCAACTCTGATTATCTGAGTCTAAATCTGAAAATCTAGTAAAATGTCCAAAACTTTAAAAACCATTAGGTTTTCTTTTTAATTCTGAGGCAGATTCCATAATGTTTCCCCTTTTTACAACTTGGAGAGGTGTCCTAATAAATATACTTTGTCCTCTAACCCAACAATGGTTCACTAGCCTGGTGAGCTGGGTGTTTTCTATTTTGAGCACATTAAAGGAAAAAGTTAACTCTTCTGTTACATCAATAATAGCACTGATATAGTTTTCTACTAATGGGAAACATTTTGTAATAAGAGAACATTTAAGTCTGTTCCTCTGACGGCATAGTATTAGTAGAGTGCACACCAAAAGCAATCAACCAAAGCAGTTTCTTTTCAGTTCTCCCAAGTTGTATTCCCTCTCTGCATTTACCTGAGGAGTTCTGAGTAGAAACAGCAGCGATTAAAAGCAACAAAGCCCATATTCTTAGATGATTCTCCATTGTTCACAGCAACTACTCAAGAATTCTCTCAGGTAAGAACCAAGTCCTGGGCCCTCTCATTGGCTTCATTTATAGCTCATGCAATACTCAGGTGCCTTGGCTTCTTCCAATGAAACTCTATAAGCTATTTCCTTACCTAAATGAGGAAGCCATTTCCTCCATTCTTGAGACAATTGAGGTGATATACTACATATTCAGGCTGGGTTCACGTTCCCTTCTTGGATAAACCATAGGCTGCTTTTTTGGTTAAATCATATAATACACCTCATCTATAGCATTTCTACCATGTTCTACAAATACCCAAACTAAGAGAGTTTGGAGTCAGGACTCTGGTGGAAGATACAAGTGCTATTTTTCATTGTCAAGACAGCTCGGAAGGACAGGTCCAGTTCAGTTTTATTTCCTTTTTCTCAACCCAACTTCTCTTCCATGAAATTTATCCCTTCCTAGCCATTAATATGTGCTAGATGCATGGCTCAGCAAATGATTTCTTAGCAAGTGGCTGTTCTCTCACAGATTGTGTCAACATCTTGCCAAATTACATTAGCCATCTTCCTTCTGCTAATATGTACATTTGCCCCACCAATTTCTCTGAAAAGATTTGTTCTTTGGCATCTCCTACTCAAACTGGTTCCCACGCAATGTTGAGGAAATTGAGATAAGCAAAGAAAGTCAACAGTGCTAGAAATGGAGATAAAAGATTGGCAGGGAGTCTATATAAAGGGGGAAAAAAACACGTTTTCACCATTGACTTCAAAAATTTTACCACATCAAGGAAGACCTGGCCTAAAAGAAAGGACAAACACAGATTCCTATCCCAAAATGTTCCTCTTCACTATTATCCTGTATGTGTTCTGCACAGTCACCAATGCGGCTTCCATTTCTTCAGGAACTTGCTGTAAGTTTTTTGAATCACTCTTCCTCTTCGATCAGCCTTCCTTAGATTGATGCTTCTTGAAGATCTGTTGACTGATCTTCACAGCCAAATGAGCCTTGCAAAGGACTTGGATGCTGGAATGTCTAGTTTAATGGAAAGAAGTAGTCAATGCCTGGAATACTCTACCTGAGTATTCTGAGTACTCTACCTTGGTTTCTTCCCCAAACCCCAAAAACTTTAACCTTAGACTGTCTACTATTGACCTTACCCCATTCCTAAGAGGCCTGTAGGGGGCGTGCATAAGCGCACCAATCGTGCCTACCGTCCCTGTCCTATTGTTTTTTTATTTTTCTTACAAGTATCTATCTCATGTATTCAAAACTATATTTATTCTTATACCTGTATCTTGTAAGCGATTGACAAATCAAATAAATACTAAAAAAATACTAAATACTAAAGGACTATGGGTGATATGATAGCAGTGAGTGTTCCAATACCCGAAGGGCTGTCACAAAGAAGAGGGGGCAACCTATTCTCCAAAGCACCTGAAGACAGGACAAGAAGCAGTGGATAGAAGTTAATCAAGGAGAGAAGCAACTTAGATTTAAAGAGAAATTTCCTGACAGTTACTCAGTGGAATGACTTGCCTCCAGAACTTGTAGGTGTTCCGAAGAGATTGGACAATCATTTGTCTGAAATGGTATGGGATTTCCTGCCTGAGCAGGAGGTTGGACTAGAAAATCTCCAAGGTCCCTTCTAACTCTGTTATCCTAATAGAATAGAATAGAAAAAGAACAGAACAGAACAGAATAGAATAGTTGGAAGGGAACTTGGAGGTCTACTAGTCCAACCCCCTGCTTAGGGGTTTATTTTGAAAATAAGTGCTTCATTTGCACTACTGTACTGTGCAAAGCACCTCTTTTACAGCCCTAGAAACATTATAATATTTGTGCACTGCATGGATTATTGATGCATAGGTCATTTATGTCAGGCCAACTTTGCCTCATGGAAATAGTTCTGTAAAAAAGTAATTAAAATGTAATATTGGATAAAACCCAATCTGTCATTATCTTTAATCTCTATTATCTTTGTTGATCTTAGTTTCTATGAAAAATAATGGACCTTAAGCTTGTATGTATAGCATTTGAAGCTATCCTTGTTGTAATAACAGAACTCACTAGCGGGCAAAAACTTTTTGGTGGGCAGAAAATAAAATGTAATACAGAAAGTCCTTGAATTACAATAGTGCAGTTAGTGACTGTCTGAAGTTACAACAGCACTGAAAAAAGTGACCTATGACCATTTTTTGCACTTATGACTATTTGCAGCAGGAGTGAGATGCTACCGGTTCTGCCCAGTTCTATAGAGCCGGTAGCTCTGAAGAGCAGCAGACACAGAACCAATTCTGTGTTTGCTGCTGTTTGGCCCACCCGCCCGCCCGGGCTCTTACCTGTCCTTTATTTCCTGCTTTTTCAACCTCAGCTGCTTTGCGTGGCACAGCTGAGGTTGAAAAAGCAGAGAAAAAGAGGCTTTTCAAACGCTGCACACCTGTGCACAGTGCTTTTCAGCTGTCTGTGCGGCACAGCCTAAGGTTGTTTTACACGCACGCACAGGGCAAAACGTAGTCACCAAACCGGTAGTAACACCGGTTGAATCCCACCCCTGGTTTGGAGCATCCCCATGCTCATGTGTTCAAAATTAAGATACTTGGCAATTGACTCATACTTATGATGGTTGCAGTGTCCTGGGATCACGGGATCAGCTTTTGTGACCTTCTGACAAGCAAAGTCAATGGGGAAGTCAGATTCACTTAACAACCATGTTACTAACTTAATAACTGCAGTGATTCACTTAACAAGTATGGCAAGAAAAGTTGTAAACTGGAGCAAAATGTACTTAACAAATGTTTTGCTTAGCCATAGAAATTTTGGGCCCAACTGAGGTAATAAGTCAAGGACTACTTGTAGCGACAATATCTGAGGCTAAATTATAATTCCATTGACAAGTTACATGAGAGTTGTCTAGGGACAAAGGCTGTTCTTGATAAATCTCTGGCTGTCTTGGTTTTAGCTGTCCCAAATGATCAGCAAGGGTTGGTTAGCAGCATCCTGACTCAACTGGAAAACTGGGCCAGCCTGCAGGGCAAACCTGACCCCAGTATCCTGATTGCTTTGAACCTGGCTAAGGACCACAACCTTAGTGTGATAATGCATTTGGTGCAACAGATAAAAGAAACAGCTGGAACAGGTATGGTATTTGAAATGAGAAGCTTTCACATAAATAAATTGGTTTCTATAACCACTTCTGAAGCAGTTCAGATCTTTTTCATTTGATCCATTTTGTAAAGAGGGAAACATAAAAATAGTTTTTCAACTGTCACTTTTAATAACCAGCTAACTTACTAAAGCTAACCTGATCACGAAAAATACCATGAAGGTTTGTGATTTTGTTTTTACCAGTACATTCTACTTTTAACCACAATATACTTCCCAAAATTAAATAAAATTAAATGTCCTATTCTATTTCTATAATTGCCAGTCAGCTTTTTCTTGGTAGTAAATAGCCACTAACTGGCAAAGTTTTTATCATGGTCATATGTACACACTGGCAAAAGTTCATCTGCTAAATGTTTCCCTGTTATTATTCGTCACAAGGAATCAGAACAAATTTTTGAATAGGCCAAAGCAGTTTTGTTTTTATTGTTGATCACCTGTATTAAAAGAATCTTCCCAGACTGCATTCCTTTGGGAACCAGTAGGTAAGGCTTCGGTAGTCTGGTTTATAATGTTTCCTCCCAGGGTGTGACTCCAGGCTGGTGCCCCTTTTTACTCTCACTTCTCTTTTAACTGGTGATTCTTCCATGGTTTAAAGTTGGTATTTAAGTATAGGATACAATAGTATGTATGTATGTATGTATGTATGTATGTATGTATGTATGTAACACAGTTTTGTACCCTAAACCTACTCTGGATCATCATTCTCCATTCATGTGGGACCACATTGTGGATCAATGTTAACAGAATATTATCCTCAGAATTTGTATCTCTCATATTTAAAATAAATTTCCAGACAACACACAGTCTGTTGGGTGGCATAAATACAACTGATTTATTTATAGTCCTCTCAGAAGTTTCATAAAGTCTAAAGAAGCCTGCTCCCATGTAAGGGAGTGGGTTAAATTGTAGCTAAAAATCCCTTCCATGGAATAAAAGCAGTAGGTTCTAATGATGATAAAACAGAAATTAAGAGCTTCATGACAAAAGCAAAACAGTTTTGATTAGAAGCATGTTTTTTCCCCGGAGCTGAAATTAAATTAACAACTGTGAGTCTGTACTAATTCAGCCATATCTGTCTAGACTTTCACAGATTGCAGTAAAGAGCATCTGACACCAGGAACTCCAGTCCATGAAACCTTATATTATCACTGGTTTGCCTTTAAAATATCAACCACATGGTTCTGCAATGTATTCAAGGAAAAAGAATCAGAGAGGGTGTCCAATTATATCCCAATTTTAAAGCAGCTCTCCCAAATGTTTTGGGCTGCAGTCTAGACTTCCAGCCAGGATGCAAAAGGGTTCTTTATTGCTTTCGAAGCATTGCTTATTCAGTCTTTGTCCTCTCTCATCCTTTCTTGCAGAGATGACCTCTGGCAAAGTGGCCCTTTATGTTCTAGCTCTTCGGTCCGCCTGTCAGAATCCTGCTGATGTCACCACGCCAGAAAAACATGTCAACCTGGTCCAAGTCCTTGAGAAGAAAACAAAGGAAGAGATTAAGCATATCCGTAAGGAGACAAATGGGCATTAGATTCCTGCCTTTCACTTAGAAAACAAAAGGAATAATTAATCCAACTGTCTGTGTACTTTCCCCCACCATTGGCTTTCAAGGATGGTATTCAGTTGAATTGAAATGTCCATATATTTTAGGAATGTTATCTATGCAGTTCAGATAGCTCCAAGCGGTTCCGGGATCATCAACAAACTAGCACTCAACTATCTATCTCAGGAAAGAAATAATCAATCAATACTATAATTATTCTCTTAGTCAGGTTGACAATTACCTGTTCTTTGTCCCTTTTATGAGCAACATATTCTCTTCTGAATTTGAAAGACAAATGCAAGTTTAATTGCTTACAAACCTTACTAAACCCTTAGTTAGTGCACATTTTTATCAGAATCTAGTTCTCCACATACAATACCTCACAATTTCTATTCATTCTGATCTTCACGCACATTTATTCTGCAGAAATAAATTTTCTGAAGGAAATGTACTTTTATAACAGCTGCAAAATTGATCTACAATACTGATGATAATAGATCATGGCTTTGTAATATTATGTATGTAGTTATTTATTTATACAATATTATTTATCTAGCTACTCATTATGAACCAAATTCTGGGCAGCTCACCACTCAAAAATAAAATGGTATCAATAAAATCATTAAAATCAAAAGACCCGACACCACAGCTAAACTTCACCATGTAGCACATTATATATCTCAGCTAATCAACATTTTACGTAACATCTACTGAAAACAGCAAAACCTTTGCAAGATCTCGAAAAGGTGATGTTGCGCTACCGGTAATATACTTGTGGGGAAGATTTGTCTTAGTTCAGGCTGAAGATATGTTCTGTGCTACAAAGAGTAGAACTCATAAAGTACAAAATCTAGTTTAACAATTTGATATCTGTATCTTTGCATCCTGAGTTTCCAGCAATATATCTCACAGACACTTTACACAAAAGTCAGTATCGTCAGGTAGGTAATATTATAAATTATGCCTTGGAGAGGTTTATAGACCATTTGAGATATTCTCCCTATAGCATTATAAACTCTCATGCAGCAGGAGAATGGGACTTCATTTTCTGCCCCTTCTTATCATTTCCCCTGGTTCCCACGCAATGTTGAGGAAATTGAGATAAGCAAAGAAAAAGTCAACAGTGCTAGAAATGGAGATAAAAGATTGGCAGGGAGTCTGTTTGACTGAATGCTGCCTTCCACATTAGAGGGGAAAATCTGCAGCTATAAACTCAATCATTCCCCATACACTAACTATGTGGACATCTTCCAGATGAGACGACTTCAGTTTTGATGCCAGCTTGGCAATTCTGCAATTGATTTCTACAGACCTGGAAAATGCTAGTTGATAAAAGGGTATTTTTGTGATTTAGAATCCTGCACCATTATGGTTATAAATTTCAGGAGGATCCCACGGAAGTATAGCTGATTTGTGATTTCAGATCCCTCCTTCTCCAATAGTACTGTTTAGAAATAGTTTTCAATTTCTGCCTCATTTTGAACTCAACCTCCAAACAGTTATAGATGGAGGGTAAATATCTTCTGTGACCACACTGGAAGTAACTGATAAACATGCTTACTTTTCAGAAACTACTGGGACTCCCAAGACAACCTACTACCAATTGGCTCTAGATACTTTGGCTCTGTGTGTAGAAAAAAGTCCAGAACTTGAAAGGGCTGCCAATGCCCTGGCCAAGGAAGTGCTGGCTAATAGTTTCCAGTTCAAAGGTCATTTCTCTGTAGGTAAGATAATGCTTCACAGAGACACAAACATATATATGATTTTGAATATGATTTTAAATTACCTTTTAATTCTGAGCTTTGAAAGTCTTCAAAGTAGATGTCTTAATGATACCTTGTAATGATCCTGGGAAATAGGCTGGATTGAGAGATGGCAAGTAGAACCTCATGGAACTTTATGATGAGCAAGTGATTGATAAGCTTGGAATCCATTAGCCATTGCATCATCCACGATGACAACTTGTAATAAACGGCCTTTTCCAATTTGGCCTGCTTCTCTCAGATATGTGCTATTGTCCAGCTCTTATACCGAAGAAACCCATGACTCTTTCTAAATTGGCAAATACTCCTGACTTTCTTCTCACTGTGCACTTCTTTGTTTGATGTAATTCAGATACTGCTGCTGTAGCAACTCTAGCACTGTTCTGTGTGTATGAAGGAAGGATCTCGCCTCAACAGAGCAAATTTATAGAAACTATACGAGAAGCCTTGGCCCTGGCCACAAAGCAAATCCTTAATGAACAGCAGTCTAATGGCCTCCTTGGAAATATCTATAGCACTGGCCTTGCAATCCAGGTACATCTGACCTTTTATTTGGGAGGGATGAAAATCCAGCAATCTGGTCTTTATCCCTTTGAATCTTACTGAGCATATCTCTCTCTCTCTCTCTCTCTCTTCTCTCTCTCTCACTCACTGATTTCCAGGCTCTCAGTGTTACTTCTGAGTTCTACTCTGCTAATGCATGGAATTGCCCAAAGACCCTGAATGAAGTGCTGAGTAAGATCACCGAGGGAGCCTTTAGCACTCCAGCTGCTTCTTCTCAGATCCTACCTTCTCTGGTGGGCAAAACGTATTTGGATGTCAGGGGTCTCACTTGCAGCTCCAAAACTGGTAAGGCAGCTTCTTCAATGGAAAGAAACTCTTCTGGCACTTCCCTTGTTCTCTCAAAGAGAGAAAAATAGAGAAATAGAGGCACAGCTTAATGAGGCCTGCATTGTAGATCCACCTTTCCCATCACTATATTTCCACACCACAAAAAAGTACAGTTTTGCAGTTATTTGTTATGCTTGGACCCCATAACAGCTATCCTGGAAGAAAGGGAATGATGGAGGTGGAGGAAACAGTGCTATTTCCAGGTAATATTTATTTCACCTGGGTGCATTTTGGATATTTCCCTGGAGGGCGCCAGAGTCAGATAAGGTAAACAAGGACAAGCACTTTTTAGCCATACTTTCAAAATGTATTTATTTGACCAGAGGTGGTATTCAGCTGGGTCTGGCATACTGGTAGTGGAAATTTTGACCAGTTCGCAGAACCGGCAAATACCACCTCTGGCTGCCTCACCCCACCTGCAGCCACCCTTTCCTGTCTATATTCCCTTGATTTTTAGTTCAGTTGATTCACACAGCAGAGGGGATTGCCTTGTCTCAGTTGAGCTAAAAAACAGCTCAGCTCACCAGCGTTGACAGAGGTTGGTCTTTGAGCTCTCTGGGAACTGTTCATAGAACCAAGTAGGAAAAAAAATTGTAAATCCACCCCACTGCACGATTGGAACATTCTAAAGCCATTGGTAGGGTATGGGGCACAATTTTCAGCATTTTTTAATTCAAATCTATTTTCATTCAAAATAAATGTTATGCTACCAGAGGTTTAAAACACTAAAATTAGTGGCTTGTGTTCCTATTTTGAAAGAATTGCAGAACCCTCCACAAAATTATGCCACCAAAGCCAAATAGATTTTTCATCTAATTTGAATGCTTCTTGGATCCACAAAACAAAGGTGATGATGTGGGTATGCAATGGATTGCCCAGCCTGTAATGATCCAATTTGTTCAGTGTGATTGATCTACAGCTTCTACTCAATAGCTCATCCATAATGATGAAAACAGTGGGGTTATTAGCATCATTCTTCTTGTCATACTGGCCAGGGTTGGTTCTGGAGTTGTGGTACTGTGATTCTGGAAAGTTGTACAATGGGAGAGCTGTACACCATTGCAGTTATACCAGATGCAAGGAAAAATGTGTAATGTAGATATGGAGCTCTGGTATAACAAGCATATTTTAATTTTGCCTATGGATCTATTTTCACTGCACCAAGAAGGAGCAATCTTTAAATTTGCTGCCAAGTCTAGTTCATATTGCTGACTCTCTGCTGCGAAAATCTAGAAACGGACATAGGATATTAAGGTATAATGAGTTTACTTTACCTGCCGTCTCTTCTCTTTCATTTGTAGTAACAGTGAATTATACAGTAACCAATGATCTAATAGGACCTTATTTCAAGTATTCCACAGCTGTGCAAGTGCCAAAGGGTTCTGTGCTGCTCACTGTCTTAAAAGCAGCTCAACAATTTAATGCAAAGGAATTCAGGTAAATAGACTCCTGGTAGATTCATTATAAATTATGTCTCTGAACTTTTTTGGGGGGGGGGCATTCAGCGTAGGATGTGAAACTTTTCTTATTTTCAGTTCAGTTAAACCTTTATCAATGTATTTTAAACTATCTTTGGGCTGGAGGCTGGATAAATTTGAATATTTGATTTCTATGAACTATTTTTACCGATAACATTCCTGATCTTTTATGTTTTTTTCAATTTTTCTTGTGTGTATATTAAATATCCCTTAAAGTGTTATGATATAATTCACCATTTTCGTATTCATCCTTCCTTCTTGTTACATTTTTAATGAATTTGGCATCTTGTAGCTTTCAAACAAAGGAGACTTCTTGGGGCCCCATGGTCACCTCTATCAATGGCGTCCAAGGCAGCACCAATGAAAAGACTTACTGGCAGTTCCTCAGTGGCAAAACACCCCTTGAACAAGGTACATTTTCTTGCGATGAAGGAAAGTGCTGAAAGATAGAACATAGTTCCTCCAGATATTTGCGGCCTTTATCACATATCTTAATTATAATTAACTTATTAGTGAATGTGCAGCTATAGGACAATAATAATCAACAAGCCCCAAAAATAGTTTGATGCCTGTTCAAATGGCATAGTCTTCAAGTCGAGCTCAACTCCTCATTATTTTATAGATATATCTAGGTAGTTTTCTCAGTGAAACACTGAAATTATGTGTCTTTGCCCTCTCCTGGAATAAGCTTTCAACTTCTCAGTCTATACTACAGTACTGGCATGACTTAGAAATACCCTATCTAGAGACTAATTAGCTTTGACTCTACTTAGCTTTTGATTCCAGACAAGATTTCCAAGTGCTGCAATTAATTGAGAGCCTACTCAAATGCACAATTCCCAAAGGACAAGTTGTATAGAGGAAACATAATATACAAATTTTACCCATTTACTAAAGTGACTGATAGGCAACTCAAGAAAAATCAAGGTTGTTAATCAGTTCAGCACACAGTCTAGGAAGACAGTTGCATTAACAAGAGCATCAATCAAATGAAGTTAGGGGTGAAATGTAGTCCCAGAAAAAGACCGGGCAAAGGATCAAGTCGAAGAAAAGGTTGAGGAGTACAATACCAAAGTGAAGATTCCATGAAAACAAAGGGACAGAACCTTAAAGATTTAGTCTTCTAATGAATGGTTGCCTAACATTATCTAGTGGTGTTCAGTTATAGATGTGTATAAAGCTGACACAAATATATTACAGTAGAACATAGTTGTCCAATCTTTTAGCTTGCCTGGGCCGCATTGAATGAAGAGGAATTGTCTTGAACCAAGGAAAAATATATTTTTCATTATCCTGTGGTGTTGCTTTACTTAACTGTTCAAGGCTGCATGCTATTCATGGGCTGTGTGTTGGACATGCCTGGTACAGTGGATAGGAGTATGCAGTGCTTTGGATTTGATTCTAAAAAGATGCTTCAGTGCACTTGGAAGTGTGAATATATCCCAAAGGTGCCTTTTTCAAGAGGCAACTGGACTTCCTTGTTTTTCTTTGAAGACATTTTGCTTCTTATCCAAGAAGTTTCTTCAGCTCTGACTGGATGGTGGGGAATGGAAGGATTTATATTCTTTGCAGTCAGCTGGACATTTGCATTATTTTAGAGAGTCACTGAGCCACTTGGAGGTTTATCTGTATCCTCAGGGTCACCTGAGTAGTACAAATGAATGTGGAGACATTTTGGAACTGCTGAAAGGACTGTGTTGTGGACTGGAGATAGACGATGTCACATCCCTTCCTGTGTTGAGAGAGGGCTGTTCAGTTTTGACATAGATGGCCTCATTGACCACTCTTTCAAATCAGTGGTCCTTTCTGTCCAAAATGAGTACTTTGCTATCTTCAAAAGAGTGGCCTTTGTCTTTCAAATGCAGATGGACTGCTGAATCTTGTCCTGGTGGGTTTGTTCTCCTATGATGTGCCATGTGTTTGATAAACCTCCAAGTGGCCTCAATGACTAAAATAATGCAAATGACCAGTTGTCAGCAAGGAAAATAAATCCTTCCATTCCCCGCCATCCAGTCAGAGCTGAAGAAACTTCTTGGATGAGAAGCAAAACATCTTCAGAGAAAAACAAGAATGTCCAGTTGCCTCTTGAACAAAGAACTTTTGGGACAATCATGACCTGGATGACTGAGAATCTCCATAGACAAGTGTGAATACAGTACTTGTTTTCTACTTTTTAAAACAGCTGTCTTTTTGGTGGTTACATGGCAGCTGCAGCTTATGCATCCTTTGGGGGGGGGGTTGTATTGGGATATTATTCTATGCATACTATTTTTCATCATCATGACTGGCTGTGGTCAGGTATAGCTGAGTATCTGCATTTATCTAATGCAATACTAGTTTTCAAACATTACACATATTAAGGCTTATAATATATCTAATGTACGGAGTATGATTTACTTTTTAAAATTGTATTTTTTTATCTTTCCAGGTGTTGGCAGCTACAAACCGAAAAATAATGAGAAAATTGTGGCTAAGTTCAGTAGATATTGAATTATCACCTACAATATAAGATAGGACTAACATTCAAGCCTGCTTTGTATCAGAGGATCCCCTTTTCAGTCAAAAATGTGTCAAGATGACAATAAAAATGTTGATCTGATGTAAGCAATGTATTGTATGTTTCAAAAGGAATTAATAACTGAATGCCAACAAAGGTAAATTATTGTAAGACATGATATATTGAAATACTTACAAAGGGACTGACAATTTTATTACATGCTGCCAGAGATATATTCAGCATAGAGAGAGAGAAATGAGCATGGAAAATAGAAAGATCTTAAAGAGATTTTTGTTTCTGCAATCTGAAACATATCAAAATAAATGGACAGAGACTTGAGTAACACTTGCATATGCTGACTTACATATATGCATATACATTTAGCATGTATAATATAATTGAAATGGACATAAATGCATCCTACTGAAATGGAGAAGACTATGTAGTTTCATTAACTGCTGATGGACAAATGTTTTATCTTTTTAACTCTGGTCTTCAAATACTTGTATTTTATAATAGTTGTTGAAATAGAAGTCTGCCCTCTAAAGTGAGAGACAAAGCATCTTAGATTACTTTTTTAAATTAACTAGTTTGATGCCTCCCCATTTCAAAATACTCAAAAGTAGTGTAGAATACTGTATAGCAAAAATAAAACTACAACTACAAACCAACAGAAAAAAATAATTTATCTCTGTAAGGACTGTCCATGGCCCTTCCCCACCTACCCTGCATTTCTTGCTTGGGACTCCTGCCTCTTCCTGTTTAATGATCCATGCAGTCCTGAGGCTACAATGACACTCATGTCTGTCAAAATTGCTGTCACTAAGCAATATAGTCCCATGAATTGTGCTTTACAATGGCATCACTTAGTGATGGAAGTTCCAATCCCAATTGCTATCATAATCACAAGACATTCTATATCCAGCTAGAACAGGGGTGTCAAACTCGTGTAGTCACAGCAGCTTCATATGATGTATAATGGCTTTCTCCCCCTTCGCTAAACCGGGGGTGGGGGTGGCCAACACGGGATGCATCTGGCCTATGGGCCCGGGTGTTTGACAGCCCTGAGCTAGAAGATAACAGTTAATGACGTTCTTTTACATTCCTTCAAAGGAATAGGTTGAAACTTGTAATTAACTTGTAAGTAAGGCTTGGTAGGGGTGGGTGGGGGGCATGATTTCCCTACTTTATTCCTCTCCAGTTTACATTGCTACTTCCAAATTTATCTTTTAATACACAGGAGTTTTACAATTCATCTGGGTGACATTTAAGGCAGAAATATGCCAAAATATACACCTTCAATTCATTCTCAGGTGTTTTGTCAATAGTGGTTTTCACATCCACAGTAATACTCCTTGAGGCCTCTCCTGAACATTCAAGTAACCACAAATACCATCACAAGTGTTTGCATCTTTCATGTACATTTATTAAGTGTTATTCTAAAATATCAAAATGCTATGCAGAAATCAGCCCCCATCTTGACTGATTATCTTTTGCCTTTTGTTCTCAGAGAGCAGAATTCCTATTAAATTCAGGGTGGCAACCTATTTGTAAATGAACATATTTATTGTATTTTACAAATTACCCCGACAAAAGTACATTTGAGCAGAAGAAACAAAACAGAAAAACTCACAGCATTGTAGCAGACATTCAAACATTTTTCTTCACGTTGAAATTTTTAACCCCATGTTTCCTGCTAACAACATATCATGGCAGATATGATCCTTGTTCACTGTAACAAAACACTGAACTATCAATAATATGAAATTCAATACCTCTAAAGCACTGTCTGCATGTTTATGATTGTTCCACCTGAACACTTTTCATCTGAAGTAAGGTAAACAGAGAAATTGAGATGGGCAATAAAACATATAGAAGCCTGATTTACACCTCTTTTATCAATGCAAGTGATAAAATGTTGAACATGATTATGTTGCGTATATAGACAACAGAATGCAATTCTCCAAACAAGATACTAACACAAAGGCTTATATTGTTAACCTTCTGTTTGCTGATCACTTGTCCAACTTAATTATTATTTTACGGTGCTTCCAGATGTTGGCTCCCACTATTCACATTTGGTGGCATTATGGCATGTAAGGTCATGGATGAGAGAAGACAATTGTGCAAAAGGCTCATCTGGAAGTATTTTGAAACATCTTGAGATTGAATAACTGATGCATTAAGAACCCATCATTCCTTGCAACAAATGCAATTTCTTAGCTAGAAAAATCCCTACCTTAGATGAAGACTGCAACAAAGTCAAATGGAGAATTCCAATCACGTTGCACAGTACAAAAAGAGAGACTTAACATTCCATTTCTCTGCTACAACAAACACATGCACCTTTTTTCATTTTCAAATAATTTTATCACATGTGATCTCACATAAGGGCACTTCCGCTAATACAATAGAGATTCCACCCACAACAATAGTGTTCATGAAGAGATTCAATAATATCCTCCATCAAATGTGTGTTATGTCTATGTTCAGGCATCAAAATTGAGGCAGTTGCCCATTTTTTCTAAAATGCATTTATTACCCTCAGAAGCTGGAGTTAAATTCTTTCCTAATTGCAAGCTATCCAGATGTGCACTTCCTATTAAATGACATCGGAACATTTTTAGAAAGATGGTCATAGCAATGATGGACAGAACATGCTGGATCTGAATATTTTAGGCATGCTTAGTTTATTATTTATATGTTTTTTATATAAAATACCCATACAGCAACAGATTGTACTATACTCTGCGCCTTACGATCTGTTGATATTAAAGATGCAGGATGATTTACTGCCACAAATTTAGACTATTTCAATACAGCTTGGTTATTTCACTGTCTCCCCCCCCCCCCCCATTCGCCATAATGTCACAGAAAATAAATTAATTCGGTATATCAAAAATATACAAGAAACACTGGATGAATCGAAGGTCCCGTTCTCAGCAGACTATCTCTCTTCCCTCCCCGCCACCCCAGCATCACAGCGGCGTCGCTTATGCCTCTCCCGGAACCAAAATGTCGCAGCACTGGTTTCCTGGGGGCATGGCCTTCAGCTCTTCCCACCGGAAGCGTTGTTACCCGGGCGGGTTAGACCCGCACTTTTCGCAATACAGCGGAGGAGAGAGGTGGTAACTCGAGCGATAGCAGGGATCACCCCGCCTGTGGTGTTTCTACAAGGGTGGCTCGTCTTCGGGATTAAGGGAATGTGGAGGCTGGCTAGCTGCCCTTTAAGCGCCCTCGCGGGGACGCCGACGCCGACAGGTCAGAGCCGTATCCTTTACGTATCGTAGAGGGAGAATGCAGCGCCTTGTGCCTTTTGCAGGGCAGCCCTTAAATCAAGGGTCTTCAAACTTGGCAACTTTTAAGACTTGTGGACTTCAACTCCCAGAATTCCTGTGCTAACATGACTGGAGGAGGAATTCTGGGAGTTGAAGTCCACAAAAGTCTTAAAGCTGTCAGGTTTGAAGACCCCTACCTTAAATCTTTCGTACAGCAACAAGAGCCAATTGCACACACACACACACACACCACCCTTTTCAGGGATATGAAGTGAAACGGTTGAGCTCCTGTTCCGTGCCTGTCTCTCTGTCAGGCGTACGACTCAAAGGAACCAGGTTAGGCAGCTACTTCGTATCTATAATAATTGTGAAAGGAGACAAACGTTAACCGGTATAAATTGTCCTTACCCACTGCAAGTCTAGGCTTTGGGAAAAGTGCAAAGAAGAGGAACTAAGATGATTAAAGTCCTGGAGACAAAAACATATGAAGAACGGTTGCAGGAATTGTTAGGGCTAGTCTAGCGAAAAGAAGGACTAGGAAGGGGTGACATGATAGCAGTATTCTAGTATTTGAGGGGCTGCCACAAAGAAGAGGGGGGTCAAGTTATTATCCAGCATCAGAAGGCAGGACAAGAAACAATGGATGGAAACTAATCAAGGAAAGAAGCAACCTGGAATGAAGGAGAAACTTCCTAACAGAACAATTAACCTGTGGAACCGCTTGCCTTCAGAGGTTATGGGTGCTTCATCACTGGAGGTTTTTAAGAAGAGACTGGACAGTCACTTGTCTGAAATTGTATAGGGTCTCATGCTTGAGCAAGGGCTTGGATTGGAAGACCTCGAAGGTCCCTTCCAGCTTTATTCTGTTGATTGATTGATAATAAAGTTTGGAGGGCTGGTGCATTATCTTTAAGATAGAAGTCCTTCTGTCCTTGGTTGTGGCAAGATGACAAGGGAGATAGGTTGGCAATGGTCTTGAGAAACAGCAGTTTATTCTGTTAATTGTTCAACATTTGTATTTCATTCCTTATGGTTTTTTTAATGCAATATTGTAACTGTTTTTTTGCCCATTATTAGTATAGTAGGTGCTGTTGGGTATCATTCTTCCCAGTCTCAAATAAGCTGCTGTGGCTTTCAGAAATATGAGGACTATGATTCCCATCATATCCAGTCAGCGTGTTTGGTAGACTACACAACCTGATGTCTTCAGAGGAAATATAACTGTAACCAACTTCCTATGAGAGAAATGTTTCATGGATATGCTACTGATTTGTTAGATGGAAGATGCCTTTATCAGAGTTGTGTATAGGCCAATTCCTTTATAGCAATAACTTTTTGTGCATTTTTTTTATTTTAGGTTTTGGTGGAATCAAAATTCTCACTGCTGGTTACAGGTGCTATGATCCGCTTCCAGATTATACAGGTATGCTAAGGGATCGAGGAGAATATTACTGAAATGGTGTTACTTTTATTGCTTTTAAATGTGAAAAATGGTAGTGAAAAATATACCGTTCTTTTGGTTTGATACTAACACATTCCCCCAATCAATTTTGTACTTTTTAACAATCCAAACTTTAGTTGCTGACGTTTGGCAGCAAATCACTGAATACCATAAAGATAAAATAATTTCCCATGAATGCTATTTGTTTAATGTGTTTGTAGATAATTTCTCATTTTAAGAACAAATCTTGTAACAGTACAGTCAAAATACAAAATATAGATAATAAATTTAAAAAATAGTATAGTTGAAAACCAAGGGAAAGAAGGAAGAATACAAGTGAAGCCAATACAGAGACACAGAAACATAAATAGGAATAAAAGACATGAGGGGAAAAATAAGTGTTCAATAGATCCCTAAAAGTATAATACAGGGCCTCATTTATTTCAGAAGGGAGAATATTCCAGATTGATAAACAGATACCGGTAATTTGAGCACCTTTACTTTGTTATTTTCTTTTGATGGAATTGGGCCATATATTTCTAAAATATTTCCATATTGTTTAATATTATAATATTGCCCTTGAGGTGTCATGCATTTAGTGTACATGGTTATCTTCATATACTTTACTTAGCAAAGTAATTCTGGGACATCTGTTAAAAGTTCTTTGTATTAGAACTGAAATCAAACTAATTATAACATGTTAGTTATGCCACCGATAGTTCTTTAGTTAAGGCTGAATAAAAACTTGCTCCTAGATTATAACTTTATTCCACAGAGCCTCTTATATTATTTCAAATGTAGATTTGAGCCTTTAAAAAAAATCTCAAGAGAGTTTGCTCAGTTTAAAGTAAATGTGCAATCTCAAAAAAAGGCAGTGGACAGTAGATAAACCACCCAGTCTTCTGCTGCTTTTGAATTTAGCATTAACAACACGATAGGCTCTTTCCTTGATCCCAACTGTAGATTTAACTGAAGGGAATAAAAATAGGTTTGATATATATGAATATCTCCAAGTGCCACTTAAATGTAAGGGGAAATCTACTTCTAATTTAAGGCCAATTTAGATTACTGTAGTTGCAAAGCTGAAATACGCACACATTTTTTGCAATCACTTCTAGTACTCCCTCTTTTGGTCAATGCCATGTACTTGCCTGCTGTATGTAGATTCTATTTATCACTTTGGATTAAGTTGTTGGCATGTTCTTCCTTCTCTATATTTCTTCAAAGTTGGTTCTTACATAAAACTTAAAAGGACAGAATTTCTGTCAACCTATCAGCTACCTTTATCAAAACTTTAACCGGACACTCTTAATTAAGATGCCTTGGTCTCTTGACTTAGTAATTTCTAAGTAATGTTTTGTTTTAAAAGATAGTGATGGTGGTTCTATATAGTTGGGGTAGGGAGGCAGTTAGAAGGCACAAGCATAATTCATGAACTGAAATTCAGAAATCTGAGCAACTCTCCTGAGTAGTCCAGCTAAAAGGCAGTTGTGAGAAAAACTGAGTCTACAATTCCATTCTTTTAGGAATTGTCATTCCTGAGAAACCCAAATTAAAAATTGTTGAGAGACAACCAAACTTGCTTAAGGTTAGGCGACAGCCCAAGAATTTACGTGACATCCGAGGTCCATCTACAGAAGCCACTGAATTTACTGAAGGAAAATTTGGTATTTTGGTAAGTAAGAATCTTCTTAGTTGTATAAAACAAATATAAAATGGTGGCAATTGGATGTGAAAGAGGAGATCCCCTCTTGCAATTTCAAAAATGTTACTTAATGACAGTTTTTCTTACTTGAATTATAAAACAAAATTCTCCCTCAACTTTCCTTGGCCTGCAGGCTATGAGTGGTGGCTATCTCCGCTGGGTTCACTTTGAAGTGATGCGTCTGAGTATTAATCGGCACATGAATCCCAAGACAATGTTCGCTCTGTGGAGAGTCCCTGCTCCTTACAAACCCATTACTCGCAAAGGACTAGGACACCGTATGGGTGGTGGCAAAGGTGCAATTGATCACTATGTGTCAGCAGTGAAAGCAGGTCGCCTGATAGTGGAAATTGGTGGGCAATGTGAGTATACTGAGGTGAAATACTTCCTCACTCAAGTGGCCAAGAAACTGCCTTTCGAAGCCCAAGCAGTCAGCAAGGAAACCCTTCAAGAGATGCGGGACAGAGAAGAGGAGAGGAGATGTAATAACCAGAATCCATGGACATTTGAGCGCATTATTACTGCCAATATGCTGGGAATACGGAAATATCTGAGCCCTTATGACCTACAGTACAAGGGTCGCCACTGGGGAAAGTTCTTCCTGCCTGACAGGGTGTGAGTGGAGACTTTAGGAACCTGATCAATTGTTGCAGCAATTCTTTGAAAACTTTGTCTTTCTCTACAGAGATATTTGTGGGTGAAGAATCAAATGAGTGACTATATATCTGGAAGTCCAATAAGTATGGAGGGTGATGGAGTGGTGATAATGATGTAGAACTTGGGTAAATAAACTCATTATAGAAATTTGTTACAGTGTTTCATATTTAGACTTTCATCTGACAAATTCTGTGCACTTTTGATTTGCAAAAATAGTTGGGACAAAATTATCAAAATCCAGTTTAAATAATTGGATGTGTAATGAGTTTGGTAAACAAATTATCTTCTCATAAGCTGGAAGCATTTTTCCTGTAAGCCACACAGCTCAATAGACATGCTGGGCATTTTAGAACATTTTATGGGAATTATTTCCTATTCACAAAATGGCTGCTATCTTTCTCAGTAGAAATTTACCAGACAGTAACCAGTGAAGTACTTCCTACCCTTCCAGCATACCCTTTTCTTTGAGTGAGTGTTCATTTCCAAACACAAAGCACTGATATGGCTATTCATCATTTGTAATGGTATGTGGGAATGACTTTGGGAGAAGGAGGAAGAGTTGCAGCCCAGGCAAGAATCTTCCTCCTGTTTCCCAAGGACATACCATATGCCATCACACCATTGTTATTTACTACAATAAAAAATGTATCTGGGATCAATGTAGAAGTAAAAATAAAGCTTCCATTTGCTGCTGCTACTCTTATGTGTTAATTAAAAGACTAACAAATACTAGTCAGATGGTATAGGCAGCCTTTAATAAAAACTGGACAATTCACAATCCATTGGGTCCTCGTTTCAGAGATATTTCCTTACATAAACAAACAATATGACCACAGGAAGGCAAAGAAAATCAATGGGAGCAGGAGTGATTTCCAATTTCCTGTCAACTTCCCCAGTTTCCTTATGGGACATTGGCAGGAAGTGAGAAATAGCCTTGCCACCCTCTTATCTCCTTTCCTTCCTTGTCCTTCCTGCCTACCCTCCCTCTTTTTTTCCTCCCCCTTTCTGCCAGCATCTCAATTGACAATAAAAAAATAGGTACTATGTGGGTTGGAGCAAGGTGTGCAGCATGGATGAGGAAGAGTAGATGGGAGTGCACAAGGGGTGCTCAGCAGGTCGGGGAAGAGTGGCGTGAGTTGGGGAGGAGGCATAAAGCTGCATGAGGTGTTACACAGGACCGGAAGGATGCATGAGGGTGCTGCATGGGTTTGGAAGTATGTGCAAGGGTGTATGAATGGTGCCAGTTGGTTTAGGGTGTGGCATGATACAGCATAGGTCGGAGAAGGTGCAGAAGAAGTGGAGGAATCAAGGAGGGCATGGGGAGTGTAGTGTAGGTTGAGCAGGGTGCACCAACATGTGCAGAGACACCTTCTAGGTTGGGGAGTGTGTGCAGGATTCAGCATGGGTCAGGAAAGTTGTATGATTGATTGGTGTGGCATGAGCACAGAAAGGAATGGGGAGATTGTACACATGGGGGAAATGTACCTGAGCAATATGCGACCTCTACTGCCTGCTTCCCTGTTCCTGATACTGTCTGCCAGCATCCTACAAGCAAAGACATGGTTTGTGGGAAATTGGCAGGGAGCATTGGAAATGACAATAATGTAACTGCAGTTGATTATGGCAGCACTAAGTTGCCACAAATTTGCCACATTTCAATCCCACAGGAGTCATGGGTCCCGGATTTTGGTCGCATTCTGTAAGTTAGCCCATTTGAGGTATGTTGATTCAAAAATTGTCCTGTGATGTACTTCTTTGACCAATTGAATGTTACAAACAAACACAAACGTTTTATTAGTATATAGATTTTTTTAAAAGTGTGCATTTTTACACTTTTACCCCCTGCTATAAATTTAGATGGAAAAGAAGTTATTCCAGTATTTGGAACTGAACTGGGAAGATCCTAAGAGATTCTAAGACCCAAATTTCTTTTTTCTCTCCACATACTACTGTATCTGAGTAATTCTTTATTGACTTAGTCCATCACACGATTCTCGAGAAATAAACTTTTTATTCAGGAAGATTCCTTTGTTAATATCTATGCTTTTGGAACAGTAGCAGAATAACTTAAATCTGGAATTACTAGAATCGTTCATTATATAGTTGCAAATATCTCCCTTTCCCTGTCTAATGAGGAATTCATTTCAAAGGGGAAAATAGATGTTTACCCAAATGGAAGCTAAATCGGTATCATTGGACCAGGATAAAATGAATCATATGCTAACCATGCTCACTCATCCTAACCAGGGCCACAATCCAAAGCAATAAATATTACATGCTTGAATAAATAAGTTTTAATTCTTTAAATAAAAGACAAACTTTTAGTATGTAAGAAATGTATTAAGTCAGTACAGTATGTAAAAATATGTTGATACAGTTGATGTCCAAACAAATCATCTTCATGAACATTAAAGCCTTGCCTCCACTACAGATGCCTGCAGCTTGCGTCAAAATTTGCTGTCATGCAGTTAAATGAGCTAGAAATATAAACATATCTGTAACTGGAATCACAAGGTTTAACAAAGATTGTTCTGGGTATTATTCAGAAGGTGAGAAAATATGGGACAGATCTTTGTCCGGATGTCTAATTTCATATTATTGTAGCTAAGAGTGTCTCGGGAGGAATCTTGGAACAAATAATTTATTTTGACATTTGATATAGCGCAAGCAGAAAGTACAGCCAGGGAAAACACCTCACATTTAAAAGCAAGGAGGTGCATATAGATTTTGATAGCAAAGATAAGGCAGGGGAATATGGAGCTTATTATCGTATTCCATAAGAATCATTTAAAATGTCTCCCAAGAACTGGGTTTCAATGCCAAAAAGTTTACACTGGGTAGAAGGAGCCAGCATAACTGATAATGATGTCCCATACAACCTAAGCATTAATTTTGATCGATCAGTCAAGATATAGGTTGGTTGGCTTTTGGTACTAGTTATAAAAAAGACCCTTATGTTGTAATGTTCACTTCCCCCTTCCAAGCTGAAGTTTCTAGGCATTGCTCTATTCTGGCTCCTTCTTCCCCTCTTTGCATCAACTAAGACATTTTGATAGGTTAATCATTGGCTATGACATTTCCAAAAGTGGAAGAACAGGAGATAAAGGATTGGGGAAGCCTGAAAGGCCAAAATCATCTTACAGATCCACCCTGAAAGGAAAGAGAAGAAAAATGAAAAGATATAGAGATCATAAGTGGTGTCTAATCATATTAAACAAAAAAGATCCTGGAAGTTGCAACCCTAATATGCAGATAGTTTCCCTCCTGTTGATTAGAATAAAATATCTTCTATCTTTTCACTTGATGCAGTTATGATGTTAAATATGATATTTAACCTCACTTACCTAAATTGCATAAGCTTATATAAGTAGATAGCTATTTTTCTTTAAACAATTAGTTACTGCAGAGAAGTATCAGGTGAAGCATTTTCACCACAACTAGGGATGCACTAGTCTAGGTGGAAAATAGAAATACAGCCTAATACAACTGCAATTTGGAGGATCCCAATTGCGCTGGTTAAAATGATTACACTAAGCTGCCCACAACTTACCTGAAACAAATGGCCAAGAACAAGGAATGAGTGTTCACATAAAGAAGCTCCCAAGTGTAGAAGCCAGGATAATGATGAGGATGATGCAGCATAACATAATCATTATCTTCTTCTGCTCAGCAAGAGGAAAAATACCCAGATGTATTAATAAACATGGAGGTGATAGAATTGGAGGAAGAACAGGGCTTATATGAGTCACATAGTACAGGTAAGTCTTCAACTTACAAACACTATCGGGACCAGAATTTCCATTGCTAAACAAGGCGGTTTTTAAGTGGGTCACGTTTACAAACTTTTTTTCCACGGTGGTCAGGCAAATCATTGTACTCGTTAAGCAAATCATGTTCTTCGTTAAGTGAATCCAGCTTTCCCCATTGGCTTTGCTGGTCTTCATGTGATCCTGGGACTCTGTCGTAAATACATGCCAGTTGCCAAGCTTCCAAATTTTGATCATGTGATTGTGGGGATGCTGCAGTGGTCATACGTGCAAGGACTGGTTGCAGGTCACTTTTTCAGTGCCATTGTAACTGACTGGTCACTAAACAAATGGTTGTACATAGAGGACTACCTGTAACAGTGTGATTTTAGACTGTACAATAGGAAGGTTGAGACACAACACAGAGGAGTTGAAGAAGGTACAAACTATTCTTTCACAGACCCAGATATTTCAAAATTTGCTTCATTGCGTTTTTGTCCCCTAAGTTATTTTTATACAACACTGTTGGGCCCAGTTCATGTTGGGAATTTGTACAATTCATAGTTGTTGTAGATGGAAAGGGTACTATCCAAAAGTCCATTTCTAGTTGTGCATTCCTTTACCAGACATCTCTATAATTACTAGCAATGAGAGGAAAATATTCAGCTAAGGTTGGTGTCCTAAAAATACATGGGAGTACCTCTATGTTCATGGAACCATTCTTACCACACCCTTCTACAGAAGCTGCAACCTTATGGCAAACATGATACAAGCCAAAGAAAATACATGTTCCTCAAAATTAATTGTATGGTTATACCTACTACCTCAGGAGTTAAGTGAACAGACACAAAAATTACAGACCGATGTTCCAATAATTCATTTATTCTTAAACTTCATCATTTCTTTAAAAAGTTTCATCAAAAACAATTTTGTAGAATCTCCGCTGTCCATAGGCAGCTTACTATGTTGAAGTGCAGTTTTTCATCTTTACAGATAGTGTTCATAAATGGTCCTTTCACTCCCATTTACAAGTTACAGACATCAAAGCCAAGTGAGCCCACCACACTTTCTTAGCTCTGTCTATGTACTCTTGAAAGTGTTATATAAATTGTTTATCCATGGCTAGACAAACTAGAATCTAAACAGTGGAACTGGTGGAAAAGTTGATAAATTTTGCTAGGAATTAGTAGTAGTCATCTCTCCCCAGACAAAATGGGAATCACTTTCTCTTCCAATCAAAGGACTATTTTGTCTCATATAATTAGAAAGTAAATAATCTCTATAGAATTTGAATATGCTGCTGATCTCTAAATCTGCATAAAATACTACTGCCAGAGCCCCAAAATCTGCCATCAAATGAGTTTACAGCTCCACATCAAAGATCAGATGTAAGCAGAGAATTTGGTTGATTCAGTCTCTGAGGTAGATTTCCATACAGCAAATATACTGATTTTGAAGGCAACAACTGTGTTAACTTTTCCCCCAGGGAAAAATCTGGCACTCTTTTGATGATATAACTAGCTTCTCTAAATAAACAAAAAAGTACCCCGTCAACTAAAAAAATTCACACATTTTTAAGCAATACACAAATATTTCCATTTCCATGAGTTATACCACTGTAGGAATGGAATAGGTGTAGTTGATAGGCCAAAGGGCATACAAGTTGTTAATCAGAGCAAAATGTTCTTATATACAAAAATAAAAGTTAAAAAAATGTTGGGAATTTCTATCAGAAAAACAATGCTATAACTGTATTCATAAGAGAAAGCTTCTCTTTCATCTTTAACAAAATAGAAGGATTTTACCAAGCAATAAAATATCTTCTATAAACAGAATTTGTAAATGTTAGAAGAAATGGGTCTCAGCTGCCAAGCCACATCAACTAAACACAATGTTTTTCTCCAGACCACTTTTTCTGCCCTACAAATCTTGATCAGGTAACAACAAACAGCAACTTCAGTAATGGGTGCAACATTTATCAACCAGAAACCATCAGTATAAAATTTAAAATATTAAAACAGAAAGAACCCTCCCAGCCCCCAATTTCCCTAATATTCATGTCCTCAAAGAGATAGACCATAAAAACAATTCTATATTAGAAAAAGAGATGAGATACAATTGTGCCTTCAGTATTTGATTTGAAAGAAATTAAACTTTGCAAATAGAGCTCTCCAAAACATGTTAGGTTAAAATGGACTGTTTCAAGTGTACTGGAAGTGGTCCTATCTCAAGGTGACATATTCCTTTTTTGGTTCCAAGGTCAGACAATTTTAGTGCACTCAGAGCAACTGCTCAAAACTGGATTATTTCAACTCAAAACACTTTGAATGCACCACTACATACAGCACCTCAGAAATATAATTGCTTTTCACAAGTGAAAGGAGCTGTCCAATATGAAGTAACACATATCCCAAGGAGTGTCTTTGCTAATGAGTATTTGAAGACAGGTCTTACTCTGGCCTGTTCTAAGTTCCCAAAATATAGAATATCCATGGCTATAGCAAAACATTTGAGCTGAGTAGTTAATAAAACACAAGCAACTCAGACTTCAAGGGTGTGAGTGCTAATAGTCCATCTCTAATGTAAAACACAGATATTGGCCTGATTTAAAACATAGATTGAACACCAACTGGAGTGCCTCAATTTTGCTTGTTTGCCTAAATCCATTGTGTCTTCCAACAATAACTTAACTTACTGCAGACTCATTTGTCATGTTCATAGCTACCATTCCCTCACTTGATGTGGATTGAAGGACTCCCTCTGGTCTATCATCTTATGTTTTCTGTAAAAAATACAAAACCTGCTCCAGCCTGTGGAGTATAAAATGGGGTGAAGATTAGGAGTTACGTAGCAGTTTAAGGCTTAGTTCTAAATGGACTTTTTGAAAATAGCATTGTCTGACAAGTCCAATAATCTGTACAATGTTTTTGAAAGAGTTAAATTAAAGCAGTGAGGTAGGCAATAAGGCTCCCCAAATTCCTCTAAGGTTCATTTCCACTGTGTTGTTGATCATTCCAGAAGAAATCCTTGAATTGAAGCAAGCAGGTAAATCAGGAAGGAATGGAGGAGTGGATAAGGAGTAGATCAGATAGGAACTCCTCTCTGGAATGCCATGAGATTTCTGGATGTTCTGGTTGCAGGAAGGTACATTAGGGTCTTCAGGCTATGGAACTGGAAGAGTCTGGCTCTCACAGGAAACATGGGTGCAAGTGCACTCATCCTGCTGGGCACCATTCATACTTCATCCAAGCAGGGTAGGGAAGGAAAGCACAAACCATGGCATTGAGGTTCAAGAAGGGAAATCTTGCTACTGACTTAGAAGGAGCTTGGGAATGTCTGGAAGATGGAAAGGAACAAAGTGGGAAAAGTTAGGTCTCAAAAAGGAAAGAGCAGCCCACTTTTTAAAGTCATATATCAATATAAACTCCTATAGAGTGGTAGATCATGAAAGGAATCATCCCCTTACCTGGCTTTCAGTATGCTTAATGAGTTAAAAATTCTATTTTTTTCCTCCATGATGGCCTTCCTTATTAGCCCTGAAGCTTTAGTCTACAAAAAGCCAATAGGAGATCATCACCATCATCTTTGAGGTATAACAAAAGTTACACTCTGAGAACAATGGTGAGGAGAAGTGATGGGATTAATAAAAGAAAAATAGCTGATCTGTTATCAGGGACTTATCATGTTATCATGGGAAAATTTCACAGATCAATCAAACATAAAAATCAACTTAATTTGTACAGATGGCCTTGTAAACAGTAGTACTGTTAATACCATTCTCAAATACAATTTATGTGAAGGAACATACAATAGATTCCTATTCAGAAAGGATGTATCACATTTGTGGAAAAACCCAAACTTTTCCAGACTGTTAAACATTTGCAAGGTTTATTTTAAGAGTAGTTGACCAAGCCATGGTGACCTAGTTCATGTATAATGAACTTAAGCCATTGTTTGTTAAAAGAACAATGTCTGAAAGAGCGTGTGGTACTAAGCTGAAACCACATAAATCATACAGTGGCTTAGTTTGATTCATGAAGCTGGTCATTCTTTCCTACCACTTTCCAGCACTGAGAAGCCAAAATTCAGAATCATATGTAAAAATGCAAATTGGACCATCAGACCCTTGTGCCACATGTTGTAGAAGGACCCATATTGGAGTATATGCAGTTCTTTTTATAAACCAAGGGATACATTTGGGTACTGTGATTAAACAAATCAATCAGCCTTGACCAAGTATTATGATCTTCAAACCAAGAGGAAAATGTTAAAAATTTTCTCTGGCAGTGATAGATTAAACTAATCCTGAAAAAGCAGTCAAGAATTGAAATAATAATTCAGCTTCCCAGGCTACTTACGGTTCAGTGCCAGAAACCCAGTTGGTTACTTTTATTTCAGTCCCACTGAAAGTCCAATAATGAGAGCTACAATTCCCAGCAAGACTACTATTATCACAATGATAATTATTGTTTTCTAGAAGAGTGAAAAAAGGAAGATGTTTAACTAGTGTGCCAACAAATGAGAGGTAAAGTTTGAGCAAATTGGACGGTTAATGTTAATGTGCTTTATAGTATTACTTCAATAGTACTATTAGTAGTAGTAGTGTACTTTCTGTGATACTATTGAAGTAGTACTATTAGGTAGATCAGACAGGAAGCATATCCAGATGAATTAATTATACTTCATTGTAAGGTTATATTAACAGAATCTTGCAAGTCTGGAAGTACATTTCTTCTCTTGTTTTTACAACTCAAGAAACTAGGACGTGTCCCCTTTGAGATGTTTGCCATATCCCCATTAATTCTGCAGGCTAAGCTGCCTTTTATTTAACAGTTCCACTTGCTGTGGATCTTCCTCCTGTCTCCCAAAGTCATTTCCACATACCATCACATGACTGATACTTGCATTTCTGTGACTTAGAATTGATAATCTATATGTATAATCAACACATGAACTAATAACTACTGAATATGTTGCCAAATGTATACATATTCAGTTCTATTCAACAGAAGCAAGTAATCATGTAAGTAAAAAGTTGAAAGGTTAAGTTACATTGTGATGGGTATGATTGAATGTGCAAATGAACAAGTGACATTAGCTTTAATTCAGTTTTTAGAATAGATTGGATTATCAGAGCCAACCAGACGGACAATCCCTGGTGTACAAGAGTGATTTTATTTCAAATTATTAGGCAGGGTTCAGAAAGATCGGGATGACAGGGAATAGGATGGAGGCTTCATTTGGACTTGGTGGCTTCTGTTTATATTAGTAAAGCAGAATAAAAATTCCAAATTGGATCATTTTTCCAATACAATGGAATTTTGGGGAGAATTTGTGTAAGAGACACTGGACTAATTTTCAGAATAATTCTGAAAATTGAACAGATTGGGATCAAATTTGATATGGTGAGAGAAATCAGATAAAGTTTTTAAAATAGGCTGGAATCTGGCTAGAAGCTGTTGGGAAAAATATTTCATAAAAATTTCCATAATGTGTCTAGGAATATTGTTGACTGCTTGGTTCTGAGTCTCCCCTTTGAACCTCTCCTTCTTCCTGGTCCTGTAGCCCACAGTAGCACTAATATTAAAGTGTGGGAAAGAATTCCAGAAACCGTGATCTCTATACCCTCCTTATCTTGTTTTTAAAGAATTGTGAAAACAGCTCCTTGTAAGACACCTGGGTCCTCAATTCAATACAAAGCTTGCCTTAGATATTACATACAGACACACAAACACATACTGCAGGCAAGGTTACAATATAATACAGATCCTTATCCAGTTTGCACTTTAAAATGGGATTTGCTGTCCAAACTTGCACACCTGAATCAGAAATGTGTGTTAATTAGAGTTATGCAGGACTTTGGAATCAACATTAAAAAGATGCTCTGGCATGCACAGGATTGTGCGCCATTCAGCAGCTTTTTAAAGCAGTTGAGTCTTCCTGGAATCATTTAAGGATAAGGAGTCACCCACAGGTGCTACTTGCATGCTCATATGGGCTCCTAAACACCCATTTTCCTTAGAACTCAAAAAGTTCTGCACAACCTTGTTACTAGTAACCCAATCTCGGTTATTTCTTCAGCCAACTACCAAAGCTATAAAGAGGATCCTTTCCAGCAGGCCAGCAGAGTGCCTGCAATTGTCAATTTAGAGTTTAACGAACTCATTTTCCAAAGTTCAGGTTTACAAATATGGACAAACCTGCTTTAATATTTTTTTTATACAAAAATGCTAGCAGACTCTGGTTAGGTGGGACATAATTTCAATCTTAATTTATGTAACACATTTTGCATGGTGAATGCAAAAAAGCTGTAATTCTTAGACTTTCTTGTGCCACATTTCCCAAACCAGGTAATAAAAATATTTTATTCTTTAATATTTATTCTTTAATTATTGTAAGCCTTACAGAACCATGTATTTGAGAGAAGCGCCCATATAAATTGAAATAAATAAGCGACACACTGTTGTTTGACACTACACTGAACAATGGGTTTCAACTACTTTCAGTTTCTGACTTTCTTACAGCAGGAAGCAAAAACTAGAAGCAAATTAGTTCTCCTTGCCATTTTCAGCTGAGCAAACCTCCTCATTTTTTACCAGCTGCAGAACTTTCAATATCTTCTACTTACCTACTCCTTAAGCCAAAAGCAGTCTTAGGTGACTGAACCTAAGAGCCTATCATATAGTTATTAAAGTTGAGGGAGAATTTTACTAGAAGTTGGTTTATTGGCAGTCATGTGCCATACCCTCTATATAACTTACCAAAGCTAACAGGGATTAGTTTCCACATAAACCACAATAACAGAATGAAAAGACAATTTAAAGCAGAAGACATTCGGAATAGCCTTTGAGAGAAATTCAAGCCTCACATACTTCAAAGACATTTAAAACATTTTTTAAAAAGCTGTGAAAGAAGAGATCTTCTTCATGTTGAAGTGAAGGAACAAAAAAGGACTGCTCAGGAAACAAAGCTGCACTTGGCAAAATAACTAATAACATTTATTGACAAAGTGGCTGGGTTTTGAAGTGGTTGCAGGGTAAGCTGAGGTACAGAAAAAGCAGGAACAAAAAACTGGGTCTCAATCTAAAACACAAAGCTGACAGAAAGATGTCTGCAGAAGGTGAGTTCAACAAACACTGGGACAAGGGTCTAAAGCAGGTGAAATGGGGCTGGGTTCCTGTAATTCTTCTCACCCTTCGTGCTTCACTCTGAAATTTTACAGCCTTTTTGGTGTCAGCAACAGCCCTCTCCACAAAACCTACTGACTGGTCCATATTGCTCTCTATGCGGTCAATCATGGCTCCCTTGAAGAGGAAGAAGATGGCAGAAGCCAAAGAAAGAGGCAGAAGCAAAAAGTGTAAACTGGCAAAGTGGCTGAGAGTGCCAAGCTGGAGGTCTGTAGGAGAGGCTCACCTTGCGTGCCCTACTCTTATATTTTAAAGCCTTCTTGGTTTCCTCACGTGCTTTCTCTATGTGGTCCATGGTGTGCATCATGTTGAGTTCTATATTATCTACAATTTCACCCTGTGAAGTTTTAAAAAAAGAAAGAGAAGGAATGTGAACAGGCTAGAATGTTTTATGGAGTTTTATGGAGAAGGAGCTTCCCAACCATCCTGTCTCTAAACTGACTTGAATTTCTCTCTGACCCAGCCATCCTTCCATTGTAGAGCTGTCACCTCTCTCCCCAAATGCCAATTCTTCATTTTAGCTAGTTGCCTCTCTGGGTAAGAATTTGTTTTAGATCCACAGACTTTCATCCACAATAATCAAGCATAAATTCCCTTACATTTTCTGCCTCGTCCCAAACTAGGTTTATGGTCTAAAAATATACTCACCATAAACTGACTTGGTTGCCATCTCCTCAGCAATGCATTGTGAGCAAAAAACAAGAAAAGACCCTTAAAGACTGGCATCAAGGCCTAAATACTATTAAGCAGACTGCTCCTCACCCATAAGTGATTCTAACAAGGATTATATTAACCATCATCGTCACGTGAAGGATCTTTTGAAAAAAATCTAATTATAACTCATTAGAATAGTGCAATGCAGCAAGCAAAAGTGTAGACAAATCTTACCTCTGATACCATATCCAAATTACCTCAGCTAATGCCTCCCGTTATGTATCCACAGCGAACCATACCATAATGCAAATCAATAAGCCACAATATTTTATAGTATGAGCATTCCTACATAATATAGCATTCAAAACCATGCTTAAATAAACTTGAGTGGCTCTGTTCTGTCACATTAAAAATGGAGAGTTTTTATTCAAGTTTAATTTAAAAGACTTGTCTCGTGTCTTTTAAGCTGTAATTAACAGAATAAAAGAGTTAGAAGTGACCTTGGAGGTCTTCTAATCCAATCAGGCAGGAAACCCTATACCATTTCGGACAAATGATTGTCCCATCTCTTCTTTAAAAATTCCAGTGTTGGAATGTAAATTAGAATAATTTGATTCCAAAAACATACTTAAGTTTACCTTAATTGAACCTCATTTGCTATTTTGCCATCCATTCACTCAATTTGAAGCTATTTCCTTTTTCAGTCAATTTATGCCCCAGTTTTTCTCCAACACTTCAAGAAGGAGTATTCCTTTTCCAATTTTATTCCCGTAACCCCATGTATAATGGATTAGGGCAGTGTTTCTGAACCTTGGGATCTTTATAATGTGTGGACTTTAACACCCAGAATTCCCTACTCGGCATGTTGCTTAAAGTTGCCAAGATTGAGAAACTGGGTTAGACTGAGAAATAATGACTAGCCCCAAATTACCTAATGGGTTTCTGTGACTGACTGAATAACTGAAACAGGTCTCCCAGGTTTAGACCAACATTACATCCATTACATACCTTCTTAAATCCTTATATTCTGAACAGTCTGTTTTGGATTTCACTGTCCCATGCCTAAAACCTCCCTTATTTTATATTGACAATGCCATTGAATGCCTCTTTCTTCCCAAGCTCCTAGTGTATTAAAAAAAAGTCTTAGTCTTATTTGGAGAATGCACATTGCTCTTTTTATATTCACATTTTGCTTCATCTGGAAATGATAATGCCAGTTAAACATTTGTTGTTTTCTAAGCAGCAAAGAAAACAACATACCGTATTTGCCGGCGTATAAGACGACTGGGCGTATAAGACGACCCCCCAACATTTCCACTCAAAATATAGAGTTTGTTATATACTCGCCGTATAAGACTACCCCCTCTTCCACACACCTTCCACTTTTGCACTTTTTTTTTTTTTGACGCACTTTTCTGCTTTGGACAATTTTGAAATGAGCTAATCCAATTTTGAACCAAGAATATGCAAATAGCTATGGAGTTTAGAAATGAGTTTTAAAAATATTTTTCATTGCTTACCATTAAGCGTAAAATATGTTGTAAATAAAATGAGAACACAGGAAACGTTCTCTTCTCAATAAAGCTGATCTCTCTCTCTCTCTCTCTCTCTCTCTCTCTCTCTCTCTCTCTCTC